AAATTTTGTAAGGGAAGGTAAATATTTTTTACAGGTAATGGATATTTCGGCAAACAGTTTCTGTGTTTACTTAAGGGGAGAATTCCGCCCTTAAACTCTCACCACAATTCGACACGAACAACGACGGACATAAAAACACGATCGAAATTCTTCTGTAGTCGTCCGTTTTTAACAAAATCGCTTTTCCTCCCATTCCTTTCCTCTTTGCTCGCCTTTTAATCATTCCATGAATATTCATAGATCTTTGCGTTTTTTTTCGCAACAACTCTTTTTTGTTTTTAATCTGGATTCTAGGGAATGATGGATTAATTATAAAATTTAAATTCGGCCTTTGCTGCAGTCTCCTTTTTCATCCCTTTGGCGATTTTATCGCTGGGGAAAATGCCAAACGAAAAACAAAGGCAATTAGTATCGGTTTCTAACTAATTTACTTGCGTTGCTTTCGGATTCCTTTGACTGCGGCAAATGATAAATAGTTTCTCTCTTTACCTATACTTTTGGTTTATTTTTCTTGGACGATTTGCCCGTTAATAGTCTAACATTCAACATTCCATTGTGTTGGTTTCTCCTTAAGAAATGTTGCTGAAGAAGACAAAATCAAAAGCGTTATTTTTTATTTGGATATTGGGAAATCTCTAAAAATTATTCAGTAAGCGACAGTGGCGTATCTGTGATGGCAATTTTTCTTTGTTTCGCAAGTAAATAAACAATTTACAGATAGGCGATATACTAATAATAATAAGACAAAGTGTAGCATTTGCATTTTACTTTAAATCGATGTTGATTTTATTAACAACATACACCACCAATGACTGGCTACAAAATAAACATGACCTAAATTAGCTACCATAAACAGGGTAAATGTATTTTTTTGTTACAATTCTACCAACTTGCACAAATACTGTTATTTTATGTTCGGTAAAAAAGCATTAGAGAGTGTTTTTTTTAGTTGTGGTTACTGATATTTATTGTAGGACTTCCGGTATATATTTTTATACGCAATGTCGTCTGAAATAAGTTCGAAACGAATTTAGAGACCACAAAAGGAAAAAAGGTTATATGAACATGACCCAAACATATGCTTATTAGAGGAGCAGCTTCCCTGAATATGATTTTTCGTAGTAATTTTGGAAAACTTTGAAATTCGATTTGCTTAAAAGCTTGAAATGATAAGTCATTCATTTTGTTTACTATTAATAGTCAAAGGCGTCTTCTAAAAGAGGTATGTGGGGTAAATATTGCGGCAATTGTTTTCTGTGTAATATTTTTTTAAAATTTCACAACAAATGTCCGCCACAAAATAACGATCTCCTAGATTAATATGATTTTTCGTAGTAGTTTTGGAAAGGGTGGATTGTAAAACTTTGAAATTCGGTTTGCTTAAATAGCTTGAACTGAAAAGTCATTCATTTTGTTTACGACTCATAATCAGATACGTCTCCTACATGGGGTAAATATTGCGGCAATTGTTTTTTCTGTAATATTTTTTCAAAATTTCAGAACAAATTACTTCATTAACATTCTTCTAGATTGATGCGTGACTAATCTAAATAAATTTCAAAAACATTTAAAACAGTTTAATTTATTGACAAGCAATTGCAAAACTGATTACTAGTGGTCATTTACCCACTAAATTTCAATTTTATATTTCTGAAAATATTCCGAGAAAATTATCTGCGTTGTTTTATCTTTAAGAGAGTTTTGACCCTTTTCTGCTATGGAAACATTATTTTTGTTTTACGTTTGCTAAAAAAAGTTTTACAAGGTGCTGGTAAGGTTTTTTTAAATTGTATTCACTGATACTTATTGTGGGACTCCCGGTATATATTTTTGTATGCAGTGTCTCCTGAAATAAATTAGAAACGATTTTAGACACCACAATATTAAAAAAAGGTCATATGAAAATGACCCAAACATATGCTTATTAGAGAAGCAGCTTCCCTGAACATGATTTTCTGTAATTCTTGAAATTCGGTTTCCTTAAATAGTTTGATATAAAAAGTAATTCATTTTGTTTACGACTAATAGTCAAAGGCGTCTTTTAGACGTTGCAATTGTTTTTTTTGTAAAATTTTTTAAAATTTCAGAACAAATTACTTCCACAAAATAACATTCTTCTAGATTGATAGATGACTAATCTAAATGATTTTCAAAAACTGATTACTAGTGGTTATTCAGGAAATGTATAACCTTTAAGACATTAAATTTCAATTTTATATTACCAAAAATATTCCGAGAAAATTATCTCCATTTTTTTTTCTGCGATGGAAACATTATTTTTATTTTATGTTCGTTAAAAAAAGTGTTACAAAGTGTTGGCAAGATTTTTTTAAATTGTGGCTACTGATATTTATTTTGGGACTCCCGGTATTTGTTTTTAAATGCAGCGTCTCCTGAAATAAATTAGAGACAATTTTACAGACCACGATAGGAAAAAAAGGTCATATGAACATGACCCAAACATATGCTTATTAGAAGAGCAGCTTTCCTGAATATGATTTTTCGTAGTAATTTTGGAAAACTTTGAAATTCGATTTGCTTAAAAGCTTGAAATGATAAGTCATTCATTTTGTTTACTATTAATAGTCAAAGGCGTCTTCTAAAAGAGGTATGTGGGGTAAATATTGCGGCAATTGTTTTCTGTGTAATATTTTTTTTAAAATTTCACAACAAATGTCCGCCACAAAATAACGATCTCCTAGATTAATATGTAACTTATCTAAATGAATTTGAAAAACGTTTTAAACAATTCAAGCCACTGAGTGTCAATTTTCGAAATTATTCCGAGAAAATGATTTTCATTGTTTTATATTTAAGAGGTTTTTGCCTTTTCTGCGATGAAAACATTTTCTATAGTCATTCCGTTGTAGCTATATATTTTTAAGTAAATATGATATGTTCTGCAATCGGCTTTTGCAATTTTCTTTCGCGAAGTGAACGGACTGTATATTAACCGGTAATTCGGAGCAATATTACGCGGATAATGATCTATCATCAGGTATATACGATATTCTATTAATCCGACACAGTCACAGATATCTACCAATCGTAAACCTGCTGAAATTAATTCGTTTAGAAACCTAATGTGAGCGCCACACCTCAGCGGAAAGGTAAGCTATCTGTTATTACATGCACAGGTTAGAAACCGGTTTCTTTCAATTTCCTCTCGCCGTATTCCGACCGTGGTTCCAAAATTGGTTGAACTGCCTAAGCAGCAACGCAAATCATATTGCGAGTTGATTGCTCAGCCATCAAATTACTGGTTACTCTCCGGTTAAAATTATACTTTTTCAAATGAAGATTTCGACTTATGTCCTATCCGTCATAGTGCAAAATAAGAAGATTTATTATGTAAATGTGGCGGCAAATGTTAGTGGCTACAAAGTTGGAGTATTGGGAACAAAACCTGATTTTCGAAAAAGTTAAAGTAATTTCGGGTAAAGATATTAAATTCGAAATTTAGTGTACACTGCTGTCACATATAAATAGATTGTTTTGGCTCACCCAAATGGCTTTAACTATGTACAGATTGACCCGAAATATCGTTGGAATAATTTAAGAGGTTCTGCATAAGAAATAAGAATTTTTTTTAAATGGGTTTTTAATAATTGTCTTAATATCCGTTGACCCTTGACAAGAGGCTCATTTAGGAATAATTAATGTAAAATGATGAAGGTGCGGTAGCGTATTGCGAGGCATCCTATCTAATATTTTTCACAAACAAAAAAACGCGCGTCACTGACTTTTTACGAATTTTAATTTTCATTAAAAATTAAGCAACGAAAAATGCAACTTTTTTTTATCTCTCAATTTTTTTTCGTATCTTGCTTCGTTTTCGAAAAAAAAAACCATTACCATCTTTAGTAACCACTATCCAAATTCATGCAGGACTAGCAATTTATTGTTTTTTTTTTTCCTCGAAAACAAGCAAGATTTTTAAAAGTTTAACACCCCGTGTATTGAAAACTACGCATTTGGGGAACAATGTTCATATTAAAAAATTGATTCGGATGTTCCTGTATATTATAATACGCTACCTCTATCCCAAAATAGATTATAATGGTTTTAACTTATTTTAACTTATTTTCCAAATATTCGATGATATTCTTTTCGGAATCTTAGTCGAATCATATAATTGGTTTACAGCAGCACTAAAGTTCATTACATAAAGAATTATAAACAGTTTTTACAATGTGCTGAGTATTTTTTTTTTAATGAAGCAATATTAATCTATTCCCGCGGACGAAACATCGAAATATAATGATGTTTCTAAAATAAAAATTTGACAGTGTTTACTTTCTGTGTGAAATTAAGATTGAATTGAAAAAATTTAAAAAAAACAAAAGGACGCATTTCTAACTACTTATCTTTTTAAATAATGATTTTTGACCGGCCCATGCTACTGGTAATGTATATTTACGATTGCAAGTAGCACCTAGCCATTAGTCATTAATCGTTAGGCATTATCTGTAAAAGCACTATACAATCGTTGTCCAAAGCAGAGAGCGATTTCAGACCTAATAATGATTTAAAATCGTCGTAGTTGGTAACTATTTACTGTTTAACATTAGGAGATCAATTTTTACCGGAAAGTTTTATGGCACGAGCCACAGACCTATAATGATATATATTAACTTAGATGTTAATTCTCTTAAAAACTTAACTGGTTATTTTTTTATTTCTAGGAAAGTCTGATTCCCTAATACCACACCTCGTTGTCCCCTGAAAAATAAAATATATGTTGCTGATACCAAACCATCATACCAGTGATGGTTTAAAAATATTGTAATATACAATTTACATTAAAAAAAATTACTCTTCTGGCTCAAATCCTTGCGGTCTCAAATGTTGTAGTTATTATTTGAAAAAGCTTCATATATTCGAATACTTTTTTGATAATATGAGTGACGTGTCCTCGCGCGAAGCAAGAGGTTTTTTAAACGAATTTAATTTAATAAAGTGCCAATTTCGTTCCGCTGATGGTAAAATTTTTGTTTCAGAAATTTAACTAGAGGTGGAACGGTGGTAATAAGCCCAGCTTATACTCTCATCAAGAAGAAACTCTATCGTTCTTACATGGAACAAATTGTACAACAGTAAGGTTTGTTGTTATCATAAGACTGACTAATAAGTAGAACGGTAAAAGAAATAATTATGTGTATTCGATAACTCAAATATTATTATATTCATCGTATATGGTATCACCTTCACTGGCATTAAAGTTAACATGGTCACACCCGATATGCATAACTAAAAACTCCGTGTTTTTGTTCTAGATCTCTTATAGACGATTACGTTGTCCGCTTTTTGATTTTGTTTTTTTTTTGTTTGTTGAAGACAGTTTTCGTTTTCCTTAATTCCGCCTCAGCTTCCGGACAAATTTTATGTCAACTGTTACACATGTATCGGTTTTCAGTCTTGTTTCTAGACGTTTAATCACTACCCGTACTTGTTAATCATTAAAATATTATTAGAAACAAATTAGTGTGTAGTATATTAACATTAGATGAACTAATCAACTAGATTGGGTAATCTGACTGAATCATTTCTTTGTGGATTGAACACAACGAAATTTTTTGAGGAGCCTTTCACCAGACTATAGTAGAAAAAGTGATACTAGAGAGTGATTTTTTATATCGTACCTGGGCATTTAGGACTGGACCGCGAATTTAAGAAAAATGGATGCATAGTACGGGGAGTCAAAAGCGCTGAAATTTTACACCATACTCATTATCGCATATGGCGTAGGAAGGTATTTCCGCGCTTTTGACGTCCTGTACGCACAATTCTGACCAATTGTTCACCGGATGATTCCGGTTTAAATTCGACCAAATTTTATTTGGGAACTATATCATACCAAGTTTTATCGTCCTGTGGTGATCCGAATTAGATGTACCAGTCCTATTGCTAAAAATTCCTTTAAGGTTGTACATGGATACGGAATGCACACGACAAGAGAGATGCGGTGACGGATTGGGGTGTGTTATGGTGGGACCTTAAAGGCGTTTCTGAATTTAATAACACTTATTGTGTGTATTTTTCTGCTGTGTAAAAAAGCCGTTTCCTTTTAGTTTGCATTCTCTCTCTCTCTCCCTTCTCCGTATAAGTACTATACGTATCAATAATTTTGGGGTGTCCAAATTAGGTGTTAAGTTTTTTTTTGTTGCCGTTTAAGAATTTGGAGATTTTTTTTTTGCACAGGAGAGACTCAGAAGATGTTGTAAATGTTTTTTGTAAATTTCTTGTAACTTATTTGCAGGTGTCGCTCATACTACGTTGTGATATCAGTAAATAATATAACAGTGTAACAAATCAAAATTACCTTAGTTCGTAATAGTTTCAAAGTATCAGTATTTTGCAATTTTGCGTAGGTATTATTAACACGTATTTTTTAACATTTAACTAGTACCTTAACATTTTGTTAATTTCAATGTAAGTTTCTCTAAGGTAAGATCTTTTGTGATAGTACTTATGTACAGCGCTTTTTGTACTTTATCATAAATTTATTATTATCAAAAGATATATGTAAAAATTCGACATGTCAATAAAGTTATTTAAAATAATGTCTATTATTATCTTATTCGGCTTTAATTGTGCACAGGAATAGCGAAAAACGGCCATAGTGTGTCATTCCGCAGGTAAGTAATTAAAAAACAAGTGATATATTAGACAATTTGCCTGCTTGTCAATATTTATTACATTGAATCTAAAGGCTAATTCGAATTCCAAGACTTTAAAATTTATCTTATTAGAACAATTTACCTACTCTTTGTCGACTGCCAATATTACAAAAAAATTTATAGTATAGTCTGACTCAATCTCCATCGACTTTCGATGGATCTTCCCCAATAAAACTTCAACGATGTTATTCCCTATTGTTCTTGGGTAAAGCCTTTAACAAAAAATTTATTCTTACTTGAGTGACAAGGCAGGGGTGGGCCAGGCATATTTCTTTTATTCTGATATATTTCTTGAGTACTGACCATTTGTGACAGTGTTGAATAATCGTTTTTACTGTGCGTTTTGCAACAGTTATTTTATGAGAATATAACAATGTCGCGTCGAAATCATTTGTCGAATGATGCAAACCAGGTTGTACAAAATGTGTATGAAACTTTAATCAGTAGAGAACTTCTACTTACAAAAATGCCAAAATCGTCGCTAAGGGATATTATTAATAGTGGAGAATTGAAGAAAACGAATAAACGTAGTGATTTTCAAACTCACCGTATAGACAATAGTGATCAGAACCGAATGAGAAGGAAAATATATTGTCTTTGAAAGCGAAGTTGTTCCTACCTTGGATCAACTGAAAACGACGGTAGAAGAATGTGAAATCCGCAAAATAGACAAAAGGCAAGTAGTAATGGAATCCCACAGATTACGCACTTGAAGATTTAATTATCTTCAAGAAATTAACAGATGTAGATCAGACAACAGATCCATAATTTACTTTAATGAAACATGGTTCGATACACACGACACTGTATCCAAATGATGAGTTAATTCCACTCAAAACTGTCAGACGAAAGCACCTTCAAATAAAGCAAAACGCATCACAGGACGGGTCAGAAGAAGGATTTGTCCAAAATGCTTGCTGTTGTCTGCAAAGAATATTAAGAATTCTAGCTTGGATTATCAAGAGGATACAAGTGCTGCACTTTTTGAAAATCTATTTTAAAACAATATTTAAAAAAATATTCCCAACTAACAGTGTTATTGTCATGGACAACGAAAGCTACCACAGCCGTCTGCTAGGCGAAGCGTCAGCCTCATCAAGTTCAAAAACTGAAATCCAGGAATATTAAAAAAAAAATTGTTTTGTACAAAAAGGTACAAAAAAGCGCAACGGGCTGAGCATAGTGTTTTGATCTTTCTGTATATGTTTAACCCCAGGGAGCAGTTGTAGAAACAAGTAAATTGAAAGGTCAGAGCCGAAAATGTTACTCCGACAAGTCGCAGTGTTATAAATTTGATAAAAAGTGTAATTAATAACATACCAATAGAGCTGAAGAAACTCGGTACAGCACATTATAAAAATTGAAAAGTAACATAAATGCTATTATAATTAATCTCAATCACGACTCTGAATTTAATTTCATTGTTTTTTCTTATTAGAGTAATATAAATAATATATATAATATAATAATATAAATAATAAAAGTAATATTATTACCAAAATCTTTGAAAGTCCACCCTTAATGTTCTGTCCTTTAATACCTACCGGATCCGAGTTCCATTACCGTCGGCAGGTAACTTCCATAATTGCGGGCAAAAGCCTCTACGATGAAGATTGACACAAACTATATATAATTTGGTATTTTTACCACTTGAAGTGTATGCTATTATATAAAAATTTGTATTAAAATAGCGATATTTTTGTTTAAAATTGGACTTACGGTATTTATTGAAATTTTTATCAACTTTGAAGATATGGTTCGAATTTTATTACTTACTGTGTGCGTTCTGTATTTTAAAAGCTCTTTGGTTGGTTTTAAAGACAAGTTAATTATTATTCAGAATTTTAAAATAATTTACAAGTGGATCTACAAACAAAGTTTTGATTTTTGGTTTAGCATGTCTCCCGTAAGTTTAATTATTAACCCTGTCTAATATTAATTTATTTAAGTAAATCTAATATTACAGGAATTTCTCCAATTCCCGAACAGTAGTCAGTGGTGACAAACTTTGATAGATGTATAGGAAAGTATTAAGCAAACAATAATCAGAAGAACGCGGCGAACCGTAAATATTCGTTATTCTATTTGCAGATGATCGATAACTCCACTTAAAGAAGTTCGATCATATCCGACTCTTACATTAGTAGGTCCTAATGTGGGCCCCCTTATATATTTTTCAATAATTTGGAAAACTATATCTATATCTATGTTTGAAGTTTTCAAAAACGTTATTGCTAGTTTGCGAAAATTCTGCAAGTCAGACATTGACCCCCATAAGTCCATGTCATTGCCTGCATCAGCTGAAAGAAATTCTTTATCATCTTCCTCATTTGATTCATCACTTTTAGATCTTTTGTATATGGGCAGCTTCTGTTTTTCTGTTTCAAATGCCTTTTGTTTACCTTTGTTTGCAGTATTAGGAGAATTCTGCATGGACCTTTCTAATTCTACTTTGCCTGGCGAAGAGGTGATGATTTGTGACTTACAAGATTTTCTTCGTCGCTGTTCTTTTCTTCAATGTATAAATAGGGCAATATCGAAAGCTGTCACTAAGTCGCGACGTATGTGTAACTCGGCAAAATGCAACAGTACTGTAATTGTAAATTATTACAGGCCTTGGTCCTGGCTTATGCGACCCAGAAGTGTCAATTTTCACTAAGCACATTGCAAGTCGGTGAGAGAAATTTAAGATACATTTAATGAATGGCGTCACTCGCTCTTCTCTAATCTAGAGTAGGATGAAATATGTCAACCAAAGCACAGAACACACAAAACACACCAAAGTTCTTTCTCCTACAAAGGTGTTTAACCAGCTACCGCCCAGTATTGGGAAACTATCCCGTAACACATCCCTATTTAAGAGACATGTTAAGTCTTATATTATTACAAAATTAACTAATTATTATACATTCATTTATGTAAACTTCATTTTTTTACTATATTGTATATTATCCACTTGATGTGATTTTGCTCAAGTACCATTTTTCGTTGTATAACTTATCCGAATGGTTCATAACATTCTATTCTATTCTATTTAGTTGTTTATTTATTAATTTCTAGTAACGATGTTGCCAAATGTCGGTGACCAGTAAACAAATTTTGGAAACAATCGTGCTTGCGCTTGCTGCAATACTGGTTAATTCCACGTGACTTTACATATTCGCTATCTCGAGAAAATCTTTATTTCCTAGTACAAATTGCAATCTAAAAGTAAAAGCTGGTAAGTTGTGAGTCAGACAGTCGAACGATAGTAAATTTTAATTAAGACTTTAATGCGATGAAAGCTTATATCCTGCGCATAGGATAGACACGAAAAACCTGCATGAAATTATAAGAGCTGTATAAATGCCTCTTAGAACAATCGTTAATTAGAATGAAAGCCGAATCGAGCTCAGGAGCACGTTATAACCTTACCGGTAATTGTACGTCTTCAAATATCTGAAACAAATTAATGGCAAACAAAATTATCGGTAAAATTACACGTTCGTTTTAATGTTGAACGTATCACATGCGTGTATTGTAAATATCGATTCATAATCGTTCAAAGTTCCGAACGAATGGATTATCCCGACTGTTGATTTTTCACGGAAACTTCTAAAATTAGCACCCTTTGACTTCACCAGTTTCGAAAACAGAGATAATGGAAAACACCTGCTTTTTGAGTAGGAACCATTTTAATTCTGGATGTTTTTACATCAGAGAATTTTTGAAACTGGTTGGCAAGTGGAAAAAACATGCGATTTCTTAGATGAAGGCGTGCTTGAGACACCATTCGCATTACTTTCACCATATGTTGACATATTGTATTTGTGTTTTTTAAAAGTACTGGCTAAATGCACCCCATAATATTTGAAATTAAATGATTTTGCCGATTTCGATAGATGAGAACTACTATTAAGTTCCCAAATGAACTCAATAAAGCTGGAAAGATAAATAACCATTCCAATTTAATTGCATTTTTTAGTCGGGTTCCATTCTCCTATCATTCCTCCATTTTATGCCAAACTTGGCCAGTGCGGTGATAGCTCCAAGTTTATAAAAGTTGTGATTGCATTGTTACATTTAGTTAATAAATATTAAGTGAAGCCGATCTAAATTGGAATTTTCTCATTCTCTTGCTCATTTATATAAATGAGACAATTTCGATATATTTTTACTAAAATTATTCGCACCTTATAATTTGGCGATCAAAAAATATTTTCTTTAAGTTATTGGTATAAAATAAATAAGTCTTTATAACTTTTTAAAAATATATTGGAAAATTTATTTGTCAGAAAATTGCGGTGGGTATTTTTTCGGAAGTGTTGTTTCAAAAATGAGTGACGTATTAACAAACGGAAAAACTTTACATTTTCTTTTTTAATATTCCTGATCACTAAATCAATAAGTATATAATACACAAATATTGATTCATTTTTTATTTCTAAACAACTATCATATTAACAATTTTAATTATATTTACATATTTTATTAATATATTCACTGACTGGTTCACGTTGGTGGATATACTAATACATTTGCAGTTGTTTTAATCCAATACGGTTTAAACAAATGCATCGTGAACATTTTGAAATAATGTGAAATAAAAGTGGAATATACAGGTTGTTCGGAGTTTCTTTTGCAGGTGGAGGTTTGGACATATTGCAGAACAAAATGGTGGATTTCCAAGAAAACACAAAAATCAAAATATGTCAGCAACTCTTGATATTTGTATAAGGCAACTTTAGAATTACCATTTATTACCATGGTTATTAACACCAATATGAAATTATTAGTACGTATTCTACATACAACAATGGTCAAAAATAATCAAAATAAATCAGAATCATTTAGTTCAAAGAGGGATAAACGATTGAAATAATTTTACAAAGTATCAGTCAACA